ACCACTTAGATGAAGAACATTTCCAGAACATGACCAATTGGGGGTGTGGCCTCCATGGGACTCCACCCCTGGTGGGTGGGGCTTCTTCAGGGCTCTGTCACAGGGTGGGGCTTCCTCATGGCTCCACCCACTGGGGGTGGGAATTCTCAGGGCTCCACCCCAGGGCGGGGGCCTTCTGGGGTTTCCACAAATGGCTGTCAGCCTTACTCTAGGCCTTGTCTCAGGGCCCCCCAGACTCCTGGGCCATTTCCCTGCAATCTTGGCCCTCAAGCAAGTTCCCCTCTCACCAGGCAGGAACGTGAGTGCCTGTAGCATCCTCCGCTCCTGTGCAAAGTCCACCATGAGGTGACTCATGTTGTCGCTGACCTTGGCTTTCAATGACAGCCGGAAGGCGGGGGCCATTGTCACACTGCAGGGAAGGAGGTGGACGCCCAGGCCTAGTCCTCCGAGGTGTGTGTAGGGGACCCCCTCCCCCTTGTTCCTGTCCAGTGCTCTGGGCCAAGGGACCCTCACCTGGGCATTCCCACCTTCACAACAGGGGTGGGGCAATGGGGTGGGAGCCAGGTCCCAGCATCTTACCCATCTTTGATTTGCTTGGCAGCCTAGAAAGAGGGACAGAATAAAATCCAAAGAATTGTGTTGACTGAGTCAGAAAGCCAGTATACAGACAGGAAGACTGAGGCCCAGCCAAACATCTATGTGGCAAAGTGCCCCAACACTGGGGCAGAAAACCTTGGCTGTGCCCCGAAGGGATAGGGGGTGAAGATAGGCTCCCACCCCCACCTCCCACCCAGTACCCAGTACATACAGTTGGCTGATTTAGCAAATAAAAATTTTATAGGATGCCCAGTTAAGTTTGCATTTCAGATAAACAGGAAGTGACTTTCTAGTATAAGTAGGTCCCGTCCAATATTTCAGACACACTTATACTAAATATCGCATGTGACATATGACTAAAAAAATTATTCGTCGTTAAATCTGAATTTCAGATAAAGAATGAATATGTATTTTTGTGTAAATATGTCCCATGCAACACTTGGGAAATACTTATACTAAACATTTGCATGAGATATACTAAAAAATTTATTTGTTCTTAAATTTGAATTTCAGATCAACCACGATGAATTGTTTTTTTTAGCGTATGTCCCATGTGATCTTTGGGATGTACTTAGACTAAATATTGCATGGGCCATACTTACACTAAAAAATTACTCGTAGTTGATCTGAAATGCAAATGTATCTGGGGGCCCTGTATTTTATCTGGCAGCCCTACCAGTCTGGCTTCCGAGGCACCTACCTGAGGAAAGTCCTCGCGATCGGTGGCCTGCAGGGTCTGGTTGGCCGTCTCCAGAAGCTCCTCAGAGCTCTCCAGAGCTCGCGTGCAGGCAGCCAGCTGGTTCTGCAGGTGCCATGGCACCGAGAGAAGAGACACCTTACTCCACTGCCTCAAGCCCTCCCAGGGCTCCCCACCGCCTTCGGGATCCAGGGTACCATGCCCTTCTCCAACTGCAGGTGGGAGAGGGAGGCTGGCCCTCTGCAGGCAGGGCATCAGAACCACCTGGGGATCCCTTCCTTAGAAATGCACATGCCCAGGCCACATCTAAGCCCAGGGCTCCACATCCCCCAGGGATGGGAATCTGGGGTGTTAGGAGGTTGCCCAGGAGGTTCTGGTGCAGCTCCAGCAACCCCAGCTTGGGATCTGAGACCCCAGGAGACTCACAGGGGGTGTCTGGCAAGGGGTGATGCCCTCAGATCTGGGGCACCAGTGGGAAGGGCTGAGAAACTGGAAGCGCTGGGTGAGGACAGGTGGGGAGGAATAGCCAGATGTATGGGTGGGGCTGCAGCAGTGGAGGGGAGGGGTGGATGGGAGAGGGGATTAAGAAGGAGAGCAAGTGGGTGGGACATTAATAGGTCATGGCCAGGGAGGAGGCTGGGAAGACCCCAGGAGAAAGAGGAGGTGTGGCCGACACCACTAGAGGGTCTGGCTCTGGACACCGGGGACACTTGGGGACATCTCTGGGAAGGGGCACGGGAGGAGGAGCAGGTTTGGAGGAAGATGCTAAGGCCAGCTGGGCTCTGCTGCGTGCGAGGGGTGGGATGGGGGATGGCGTCTGGGCGGGGGTCCAGGAGAGCATCGCCCCCGGCCCGCCCACCACACACACACACCTGCAGCTCGTAGGCGCGGCTGGCACGGTCCTGCTTTATCTTCATGAGCATGTCCTCCTTCAGCGCCTCCAGGAGGGAAAAGAGGGAATGGAACTCGGCTTCCAGGTCCTCCTGCACCTTGGCCGAGTTCGCCTTGGAGAGACATTGTGGGGTCAGAATGGCTAGGATTGTCAAAGCTGGTGCTCAGATGGGGAACAGGCCTGGCCGTGGCAGCCAGGCCCTCGAATCCCAAGGACATCAGCAGATTAGCTCGTATGGCTGCCCCTCCCTCCTTCCTGGGGGGTGACTTTCTCACCTCCACGTTCAACAGCATCTGCTTGAGGGAGTAAATGAAACTCTGAATCTCTTCATTTTTCACAGCCAGTGTTGTGATGATCTTCCGCAGAGCCTCCTGCCCCCAGGGAATCGCACGCACAGGTAAGCCCCTCAGCCTGGCCGGGCTCCCCGACTTGAGGCTCCCCATTCTGTCCTCCAGGCATCCAGAGAGGGGATGCGGGGGTCACTGTGCCAATGAGCTTGGGCATCCACCAAGAGCAGGCCCTGGGCGGAGCTCTGGCCCTACATCCTTCAGGAAGCGGGCAGGCATTAGGCACCCTATGTGTGCCCATTTCACAGGGGAGGAAACTGAGGCTCTGAGAGAGCTTCTCAGGAAGGGACAGACCCTGGGCCCCAGTTAGGTCTGCCTGAGCACAAAGCCTTCAACCAGGTACCTATATCCTGAGGGCAGGGCATGATCCAGGACGAGGGACTAGCTTCGGGAAAGAAACCCCAGAGGAAAAGGAGGCCTGCAGAACATGGGCTCATCTGGGGAAGGGGATATGCTGGGAAAAGGGGTTAGCAAGGAGAAAGGAGGTACCTGAGGAAGGGTTAGAGAGACCAGGTAAGTGGAGAAAGGCAAGGAGGTCTGGAAGAGGGGATGCGGGAGGGAAGGAGGCCGCGCGGGGGCATGCTGCTGGGGCCTGTATCCCTAACCCAGGCCTCCGACGGGTGCTTTTCCTGGGGGCGCGGGATTGATGGGGTCACCAGTGCTGAGCTGGCGGGGCGTCCTCCGGGGCGGGGCGGGGCGGGGGCCGGGACGCCTGGTCCGCAATCCGGGTGGAAGACGTGGGGGATGGAGTCAAGGCTGGGTCCGGGGTACTGGGAGGGCGAGGGGGACATGGAGGGGATGTGCTTGAACCCAGGCCAAGATGATGTGGGGTCGTGGCGAGAGTGGGGGGGCTGAGTCTAGAATCGGGGCTAGATCCGGGCGCGGTTGTGGTGGGGGTGGGGCTTCATCCGCAGAGCAGCTGGGGAGGGGGGCGGGGAGGTAGCTGCGGCATCACCTGGTCCCCTCCTCTTGTCTAACCCCGCCGCGGGCCACGCCACGCCCCGCCCCGCCCCGCCCCGGTCTTACCCTCTGGTCCTCCATGGCTGCAGCCCAGGTCGTCCCCGGCCAGGGCCGCGGGTCTCACTCGCTCTTCTAGTCCTCAAGCTGCCTTTGCCGCCGCCGGTAGCCAATGGCCCGCCGAGCCCTCGCCGCCGCCGCCGCCGCGGCCCCAGTCAGCGCTCCATCACTGGCCGCAGGGCGCAGGCGCGCCCCTCGCGGCAGGCTGGGAAATGTAGTCCTTCTTGCGCTGGGGTCGCCGAGAGCCGAGACCCACAGAGCCTGGGTCGTACCAGGCGACATTGCTAATGATGTCTGAGCTGGAGAGATCCCGGAACTGGGAGGCAGGATGCTGGGTTAGACTGCCGTGTGGCCTTGAGCCTACCCCTAGTCCTCCTAGTGCCTCAGTCTCCCCACTCTCACCCACACAACTTCTCAGCTGCCACTCAAACTGGAATTCCATTGCAACCCACCTCCACCTGGCCCAGAGATCTGCCCCCCGCAACTACTCACGCCTTACATTTACTGAAAAGCCAAAGTCTTTTGCCCAAGCGGATGTTCAGCTTCCAATGCCGCCTTTCCCTCCCTAAATCACAAGTGAACTCCCATGCATCCCACAAAGCCCCAGGCTCTCACATCTCCTCCAGAAGCCTCTCTGCCTGCCCAGAATCCATAGGGCTAGGAGGAGGCTGGGAGGCACTTCCTGGGGAAGTGTGGGCAGAGCGCCACTGCAGGGGCCTCCCTGTGGTTGACAGGAACAGTTCTGCCAAGAACACTGACCCTCTTCTTTCTGGTTGAAAAAAAGGAGGTCACACTGTGGTTGGGGGTGAGACATTGAGGCCTAGGAGTCTGCCTCCTCCTCCGGGGTGGGTACTGCCGGCTGTGGGGTGATGGGTGCAGGGCTGGGAGAAAGTCCAGGGCTTGTGAACCCCCTCAACTGGGCCCCCAATCTTCTGCCCAGGCTGTGGGGACAGGGGAGCCACCCTACCTGCCGTGGGACTCAAAGCCATTAGCAGAAATCCCTTCCTCTGAACCCCAAAGGAAGACACCTTGGGGGCAAAATAACTGAGGCTGGGATTCTGCCATTCTGTCCCCTGCTCAGGCCTCTGCCACCTGCTCCCCTCCCCTCCCCTTGCCTCACCTGCCCTTCAATGTGTCCCCCCCCCAGCTTAGGTGTGTTTGTATAGTCTTTTAGAAGGATTTTCACTCGTGATCTCCACCACATACGCATACTGCTTTTCAGATTAAAAAAAAAAAAAATTTCTGGGAAATTGAGGCAGGAGGTGACAGGAAGTGGAGCCCCAAGCAGCAGTGGCCACCAGACGTCTGCTGGCTGCCCGGGTGTCACCTATACCTCTGTGGTGGGGGTGGAGTGTCACATTATGTCTCTGTGGCAGGAAGTCTGTCACATAGGAGGGGGAGAGGGGGTGGCAGGATGCCAGCTGGGAGAGGGGAGCCTGATGGGCCAGGAATGGGTTCCCTGGGCATGGTACTGGTCCTCCTGGCACAGTTTTGGGGTGAGTACTTGGACCTCCCTCTCCTCTACCCCCACCCTGTTGTGACCCATCACCCAGCTTCCTGCCCTTCCTATACAGGGCCCCTCGAAACCTCAGTCTCTCTGCTCTGCCAAATAGGCCCCGTCTCTCTCCCTGATACACAGAACTTTACAAGGGTTGGAGGGTTCTAGCAAGGATCCTCAGAGGGGCCCGCAGGATACAATTCACACCATGACCTGCGTACGAGTCTTGCGTGACCTGGCTCTGCTGGCCTCTCATCTCCTCTCTCCTCTGCATTCCCTCTCTCCCCCGTGGCCAGCCTGCTGACTCTTCTCTCTCTTTTTTTTCTTTCTTTTTTTTTTTGTGCGGTACGCGGGCCTCTCACTGCTGTGGCCTCTCCCGTTGCGGAGCACAGGCTCCGGACGCGCAGGCTCAGCGGCCATGGCTCACGGGCCCAGCCGCTCCACGGCACGTGGGATCTTCCCGGACCGGGGCACGAGCCCGTGTCTCCCGCATCGGCAGGCGGACTCTCAACTACTGCGCCACCAGGGAAGCCCCCTTTTCCCTTTTTTTTATCCCGACACATCAAGCTTGATCCCACCTCCGGGCCTTTGCACCTGCTGTTCCCGCTGCCTGGAATACTCTTCCCTGGATCTCCTCTCTCTAGCGTCAGCTACAACTGTACCCCAAAGACCAGGAACTTGAAGGGGTGTCTAACAGACACCCCAGACTTCTCATGGCCCAAAGCAAACTCTTTCCCCCCCACCCCTGCT